GGTCGGAGGCCTTTGAGGGGACCTTGCGAAGGTGGCAACCTCTACCTTGACTTTTCCAAACAAGTTCCATCCCCCAGGGTGTTTTGCTAGAATCCCTATGTTTAGTCTTTAACCCTTTTTGGTCCAACCTCGAGGCTGACTCGACAGACCAGGTGCTAGGAGCAGGTCCAACGTCGAGCACTAAGAACATTAAAAAGTTCAACATTCAAAATATATTTTTTTAAAAAAAAGTTCAACATTCAATCCCGTCAATTAATTTGGACCAGATTGTTTGAATTCCAAAAATAACATTGGACTGCAAAGGGTTAAAGACCCGACCTTGTAGAAGCATATACTTTCTCAAGGATACTTACCCTACTAATTGTATCTAGAAATTAATTTGAGTTCAAGCTGTTATGACAATAAAAACCTAAGGAGGCAGGTGAATGGGACTACATGGAAACCATAGTCAAGTAGTGCCTTAGCCCTCTCTTTCACAGAAACATGTGTTACAGTAATTATTCATCCATCCTTCAGGGTCTGCCAGCCAGCCCCAGCATACTTCTAATTTTAATGATCACAATTATCCTGTAGTGTGATGACTGTACCCATCTCTCCTAACTCTGTGTTCAGTGAGTTCATGTTGGTAGCTTGAAATTGGTTATGGTGGTAGTATTTACACTATGAAACTGACGAAGTCTACAATTCAGGGCTTGTTTTTGTTTTCTAGGAAACCCAGTTGTTAAACATTTACCATACTAAACTATTATCCCTATAATCATCTATACTTCCTCTCCTGTGAGACCCAAACTCCTTTTCTTTCACCCAAATATTCCATTGAATTGTCTTGGAATTACTACTCCATGATTAATAAGTCACTTGTATGCTCAGTCGTTTCATGTTTTGTTCCCTATACCTCCTGCAGGACAGGCTACATAATTTGCAGGATCTGGTGCAAAATGAAAATGCAGGATCCTTAGTTCAAAATCTATTAAAATTATTAAGAATTTTAAGACAACAGTAGAGCATTAAACCAAAAACAGGGCCTTTCTAAGTGTGGAGACTTGTATAACCACACAGGTGAAGTGCCCATAAACTAGTTAGTGACCAGCTATTCTTAACTGTAAGCCTGCACTCCCCTGAGGATACTGTTGCCATGTATGATGGCTACTTATTCTCCCATACTTTAGGATTGAAGGTGGGTTGCTATGTTATTGACTCTCCTTCCCAAATCTCTTTGCAAACAATTACTCTTCTTTCTTCTTTATAAAAACCTCTTCTCCTCTGCCAGCTTGCTGCACTACACTTCAACTCTCATCATAGCGCTGTCATCTCCCAACAAACTAGTTACTCCTCCTGCTTTACTGATGGCTTTGGTACCTGGCTCTCAAAATTCCTCTTCACCCCAAGTCCTTGCCTAGTTAAGAGAACAGACTCTGGAGAGAAGCAGAGTGCCTGGGTTTAAGTCTTGATACTACCATACTAGTATATTAGTTATGTTGCCTTGGCCATGCTCCTTAACCTCTCTTTTCTTGAGCTTCCTCATTTATAGAGATGATAATAGTATTTCATAGGATTTGTTGTATGGATTAAAAGAGTTAATACATGTAAAGGGTGCAGAATGGTACCTGGCATATATTATGTGCTCACTCAGTAAACATTAGCTATTGCTATTATCATCATCATTGGTGAAATCTAGTTCAGTGTCTACATGGATAGCTCATTTAGTATGTTCTTTTGAGCTCCCTGTCGTCAATAAATTTCTTCTCCACTATACCCCATCAACATTCCACAGCTACACCCTAGACCAGCCGTGGGCAAACTATGGCCCGCGGGGCCGGATCCAGCCCGTTTGA